AGATTCTTTCCTATATAAATTGTCTTCACTAGCCATTCATTAAGTTTATTGTTTAAACCAAAAATACTTGAACACACATAAATATACACATGTAAATATGATTAACTGAGAATTTATATTTAGCTCACTTTAACTCAGCCATCCTGACTTTCTCTAACCAGATACGTGTTATTAAAATACACACTGTGGGCCGGCTGTGCACCCACTCCGCTACTGGTGGCCGGAGTTTGGATCCCGGGCGCGCAATGACGCACCACTTCTCCGGCCATGCTGAGGCCGCATCCCACATACAGCAACTAGAAGGATGTGCAACTATGACATACAACTATCTACTGGGGCTTTGGGGAAAAAAAAGGAGGAGGATTGGCAATAGATGTTAGCTCAGAGCCGGTCTTCCTCAGCAAAAAGAGGAGGATTAGCAGGGATGTTAGCTCAGGGCTGATCTCTCTCACCAAAATAAAATAAAATAAAATAAAATACACACTGTATTATGTAATATTGCTCTGTAGTGCTTCAGAAATATATATGTATTCATCGGTCCTTCTCAGAAACTGAAGCTCTGATGTCTATTTCTTCAGATGTGAAGATAGTAAGAAGCATGTGCATCAGAAAAAAAAAAAAAGTCAGTTAAACTTTAATCAGGGAAATTTCTGGCTCTTTGATCAGGTTTGGGGTCACAGAATTATGCACCAGATGTCTTATCAGTAATATGAGCACATTTTCCTCCTTTCACTTTCTGTTCCAATAGGCACTGTTATATTAGATAAAGTTTTAGCAATGCAACTTGCTCTGTGATAAAGTGTGTGCTGTATACATAAATTATCAATCAAATATTCTATAATTTAACGCCAAGCATGTTTTTTCTCAGCTTCAGCACTATTGACATTTTGGGATGCTTAACTCTTTGTGGTGGGGGGCTTCAGCATCCTCACTAGATGCCAGTAGCATGCCCCCAAGTGTAACAATCAAATATGTCTCCAGACATCGCCCAATGGCCCCTGGGGGGTGCAAAATCAGCCCAAGTTAAGAACTGCTGCTGTAAATCAAAGCTGCTTCCTTCAGATTTATTATTTTAACCTACTTTAAATATTCCAATCAAGAATTTGACTCTTTTTCTTTTCAAATAAAAGAAATATTGACATATGAAAAGAGGAAGATTCTCAAGAGTCATCTCTAGTTTAGATAAATATTTCATTTAAATATTCCATTCTGAGTTAGAGCTAATAAAGTGGGTTCCTTAAATTGTTTTCAGTACTGGCATATTTATTCTTGCTACTTTTTGTGCTCTAAGGTGTAATTTTGACACAGCTACTAATTCACAACCAAATTTCTTTAACTCTTGGGCAAGCTGCTCTTCCTTTATTTGTAATGGTTTTTTAAAAATTCTTTTATTTTCCTGTACTACAAAGTTCTTTCTACACATTATGCCTTTTGAAATCAAAAGCAACTGGTGAAATTTCAGGGCAGGTTATTTCATCCCCATCCTGCAGATAAGGAAATTACGTGGAGCCAAGACTCAGTGTATGTTTGCAGTGAACCAAATGTTTTTTGCATTTCATCCACAGTAAGTATATTTTTGAAAATATTTGGGTTTTATATTGAGAAAGCTTTCATGAAAGGGAAAAAGGAGGAAGGGAGGGGAGGAGGAAGAGGGGAGAGAGAGAGAGAGAGCAAAGTTGGGAGAACCCTAGCAGAACAATAAAAACTGGTTTATGAAGTAGCATGGGGTAGAGGAGGATCAGAGTTCACCATCTAATCCCTTGTATCATCCAGTGAGATTTGGCACTTCCATCACAGCATTATCTTCCACTCCACCCTCCTTCTTCCCACTCCCTCTACCTCCTACCTTCCCCACTGCTACCACCAGTGCATGTAGGTGCACAACATGAACACACACACACACACTTATTCACTCCTGACCTTCGGGTCAAAGTTCTAGGCCTTTCCAAGAGGAACAAGTGTGAGCATTTTTTGTTGCTTCCAAATTTCTTATTCTAGGACCAGCAAAGTGTGAGCAATACATTGCCTATACTTAATCCTTGGAGCAAAGAGTTTCTAGAAGCATTTCAAAAGCTTCCTGAAGCTTACACTGCCCTTAAATCTTTTGACAGTTGATTGATTGCCTGTCTTTCAACTTTTTTAACACAGAGTTCTTAACACAGCCTCAGTCTTTCCAAATCCTGCAGCATTCGAGTATTTTGTACATGGAAAAAGAAATAAAAGAAAATTATAACAGCAATATGCAATGTTGGGAAGTCTGATGGGAAACAGGTGCTCTTGGTTGTGATAATAATAGTGTAGCTATGACAATGCTTTTGGAAGCATATAGCAATATATATCAAAAACCCTAAAAACACGTGTACTACTAGATAGATCCAGGTATTGAACTTCCTGGACTTGATTTTAAAGAAATCATTATAGATATGTTCAAAGATGTCTGTTCTAGGCAAAAACACTTACTCAAGTGTTGTTATAATAATAAAAAATTATCAAACAAAATGGTAATATGATTGATTATATAAATTATGGTTGATCCATCCAATGAAATATCAAATAAACCCTGTTATTAAAATATATGCCTAGAAAAGTTAGGAGGAATAGACACAAAAATGTTTAGCCATTGTTAATGGGGTGGTGGGCTTTTAATTTCATCTTTATGCTGTTCCAATACACCAAAATTGCTAGAATTAATATGTAGTGTTTTAATAAGAAAAAGGATATTTGAAATAAAGAAAATGTGATGAAAATTTCCACGGTTCTCTGCCCATTGTCATGGAGAAACAATTTCCCAAATATCTCATCTGGTGGGTCCAGGGGCCTTTCTAATCGTCAGGTAGTGAGTTGTAGAATTAACTGCACTTATTATCAATGACACACCCCAATAACTTTCATTTATTGATCATTTAAAATGGGCAAGGCATTGTGCTATATTTATACAAGCCATCTCCTTTATTCCTTAAAACAAACTCCTAGGTAGATATTATTCCCAATTTTGCAGATGAGGAAACTGAGGCTCCAAGAGGATAAGTAAATATGAGATCCAAGGATTTGAGCCCAAGTCCTCTACTGGCACACTTAACCTCTAAGCTAAACTGCTTCTCTTATGTAGTTTTAAGACTGAGCATCATCTCTTTTCTGGATCATTTTGAACAAGAATAAGAGGTGTGCAGGGAAGAACAATTTTAGTCGAATTCTAGCCACAATGTGAGTCTTTGTAACATAGATTGAACTTCACTTTGCTTTCATATTTGATCTATAGTCTGAAAAACATGATACAATTAACTTATGTGATACTTAAAACACGTCTAAGAACACAAGACAAGAAAAAAATCTGAGAATATTTTCCCACTGCAAAATTTTCCCATGGAGAATGTAGCTAACGCCTCTGCCTTACTCTGAGCAATATATTAGAATGTTTAGAAATTTGTAAAAATAACCACCACAAAAACACGAATCTGCTTAATTAACATTGAACACCTGGATGGTAAAAGTTTATTTTATTTATCTGCCCAAGAGGCAAAAAAAAAACACTACCAAGGTCAGACAAAATAGATAAATAACTTTACAGATTTTTAGTGAGGTTCCAAGTTCTATTGATTTTATCTGACTGCATTAAGACACATACACATGCCAATGTAAAGAAACAACATATACTCAACTAACTGCACAGAGACTGCATTGTTGTAACATTAACCATGATTATTTTAATCTTTTCATAGCTTTGTAATTGGGAAAATATAATGGCATTATGGGAGAGGAGAGGGAGGAGCAGAGGGAGGAGCAGAGGAGAAGGTGGTAGACAGAGGCCTAATTAAGTATTCCTTGCCACCAGTAGTGAACAAGGATCAAACACAGACACTGTGCGGAGCACAGATATTAATTCACAGAACAGGGAGTGGGCAACTTGACAATGAACTCATGCAGACTCCCTATAGAATTTCCTGCTACGACTCAGTTCTCTTATTTTTTCCTGTATCTCTGTAATTGAAATTTCATCATGATGAATAGTGCCTTATCTTTTTTGGAAAAAAAAAAAAGAAGTTCTGGATGCAAGAGATTGACTTTGTGTAAAATACATACCACTCTTCAACACCCATGAGATAACCTATGCCCTGACAATAAAGATCTTTTGATACTAACATTTTTAACTTCTGCCAGTTCCTACTTTATTCTTTCAGAAGAGTATTTTATATATGTGTCTTAAACTACATGTACTTTATGTAAAAAATAAGAATTAATGTACAATCTTAAGATCAGATTCAGTGACAAAATGCACTGTCTGAATCTTGCAACATATTTACTCCTTGCTGCATGTAAGTTGCATATAAGAAACATAGGCTGCACTTTTTTGTGACCCATGCAGTAAATGTTCACAAAAATCAAGCAAACAACTAGACATCCTTCAGCTACTAAAATTAACCCCCCCAAGTTACAATAGACTTATTAACAAAAATAAAAGCATTGATGGCTGCATCAAAACCATGCTGGGCTTAGTTAGTCCTGGAAAGGGCTGGGTGGAAGGACCACACGGGAAGCACTGGTAGCCACAAATTTTTCACTTGTTCTCATATGGGATTGAGACTATTCTCTCTTCACATGGTTTTTCTCTACCACGGGCTGTTGCTCAAGAGGCATTTTGGACTTCAAATGAAAACAATCATCCTTTAATGAAAAAGCTGAGAAATGCTTCTCTGATCCTGGAAACAGCTTGCTATATAGGTCCTTAAGGCAAATGCCAGGAGTCAAAGAAATTGTAGAAGTCTCAGGATGTAAACAATAAAATCGCTGACCAAGGCGTTATATCCGTGGATGAAAACTTCTCACAAGAAGGCCTATCTTGATAATACTAGCTTTTTGGTTTTTGAAGTTCATGTGAATTTTATATCCTAGAAGCACTGTACATTTTTTCCTTTGTAGAGACTTCTGGAGTGGATAAAAGTTCATGAAGTTGCTTAAAAAAAGAAAACAAACCAACCACAGCACAGATGAGCTACTCAAAAACTAAACAGTTTCGAGGTTTGTTTTTGTTTGTTTTACTTTTCAAATTTTACTTTTGTGGTTCGCATATGGAAAACCAAACTGAGAAATCATAATGTTGGAGTATTTTAAGGGCATACTACCATAGATATTAACAAGTTTATTTATACAGTAAGACCTCTGCAGAAAGTGCTCGGCTCGATGCCACATTCCAGAATAGCCACCGTTGGTTTCTTTTTCTAAATTGACCATGTTTACAGGTTTCACAAATATCCCTGAAGCCTTCCCGATGTGCTTGGCAATGATAAAATTTACGGCGATATCATCACAGTTTTGCGTTTCATCTATCAAAGCATGGACTGCTGCGGGTTGCCTCTGAAAGAGTTCAAGGTATTTCCTACTGAAGAATGAGGCTCCAATCAGCACCATAGAGTACTGGTCACCATTTCCAAAACCTGGTGTTTGCAGTTCAAAACCTCCATAACTGTAGATACCTGACGAAGTGGTGACGTGTTTTCTAGGAACAAATCCTACAACTTGATCAGGAAATTGCTGAAAAGACGGAAAAAGAACAATTAAGTGGGCATTGCTTTAGAGCAGACAAGGTGAAAAAGGCAATGATTTATGACAGAGAGAATTAAGGTGATTTGCCAATTTTATTTTATTCCTGGTTTCTACAGGTCAATTTCATCTAACTTCAGGCAACCTCATAAATCAATGTCCTGGTAAGTTTACAGGTCAAATTCCATCATAACCCAAATCTCTAACAAAATTTCTATGGGGCCAGCCCAGTGGCGCAGCAGTTAAGTGCGCACGCTCCGCTGCGGCGGCCTGGGGTCCAGGGGTTCGGATCCCGCGTGTGCACAGACGCACCGCTTGTCAAGCCATGCTGTGGCGGCGTCCCATATAAAGCAGAGGAAGATGGGCATGGATGTTAGCCCAGGGCCAGTCTTCCTCAGGAAAAAGAGAAGGATTGGCAGATGTTAGCTCAGGGCCGATCTTCCTCACAAAAAAAAAATTTCTAACCTCACGAATGTTCTCCTAATTCAAACAATATCTGATACGAATAAATTCTAGTCACCAAAGTCTGGTTCTTCAAAGTTTGCTGCAAGAGAAGTTGGCTGTATGAATGCTATCTATTATAGGAGATAATAAGATATAATGTGATTATTTTGAAAAACTGTTTTAATCTCTTAGGAGTATATAAAATTATGGATCTGAATGTATGATTTTACTGTTTTTCCATGTTGATTTCAACGTTATTGAAAGTCACTGTTGATTTTAAACAATGCTGTATTTTATCCCTTTTCAGCTTGGGTGTTTCCTTTTTAAAAATGTGAGAATATAAATATATATATATTCCATATATATAATGATGACATGTGTTAGGATCTCTGAAGAAAAGAGAGTAACAAAGCACTTTATAATATTAAAGCGAGAGTAACCAAAAATAAAACAAAAACTTAGCAAATGAAAGAAAACCAGTGAAACATGAGAAAGAGGTAAGAACTTACAGGATTAAAAGGTTTAGTTCAATCTCATAAATAATTTGAGTTTCACTCATTTACTGAACAGACACTAAATTAGGGACACACACACACACACACACACACACACACACACACACACATACAAATCAGGCTGGGTTAAATCCCATTTCAAAGAGCCCATAGTCCAGAGAGGGTATGATCCAGATATAGGAACAAGGAATTACCATACTTTGAGAAAGTTCTAAATGCAGTTGGGTAAATCTCCTGGGAGCACTGAGGACAGAATGACAACTGTGTAGCTGGGAGGCAAAGGGGAAGGTCAGAGGATGAAGGATCAAGGCTGGGAGGCTTCAGAGAAGATATACCATTTACCCAGTCTAGGAGGATGAAGGAAATTTCACAGATGGCTAGAGGAGGAAAAAGGAAAGCACTAAAAGTGGAGGTAATGGGTGGGTACAACGGCACAGATAAATGTCTACTCTAACCTTGCTCACATCTATACCCCAAATCACTGCACCCCAAATCACTGTATCAGAGCAGGGCACTGATGGGACTGAACTTTAGGAGCCAGATTATCTTGGGAAATAGATTGAAATTATTCTTGATACTTTTATGGATAAAACCTAAAATCATATTTATCTATCTTTAATTATGGTTTACTTAGATTCTTCTAATTAACCACAGTCGTACTCCCCCCGACCCCTGACATTTTAGGTAAATTGATTTTTTACCGGAAATAGAAATCTCACAGCTGGAGATGAGAACTTTCTGCCTAAGAAGCTTTTATTTACAGGGCTGGAAAAACTGCTGATATGGAAAAAGTTTGTGGATCAGTACACGAGGCATGAAGTTAAAAACTGCAGTTTTGAAAATGCTGATATCTGCAGAGTACTGTGACCACTTACGCTTAATATCTAATGTTGTTATATCCCAAGTAGCTGATTAAGGAGAGTTACTACATGCAAATTAGACCATTTATTGGATAGCACAGTGTTTAATTATTTGACAGGGCTTCAGAGTTTTGTATGCAGTTCTGGTTTCAGGTAATTGTAGTGCGACTTGTGAAAGCCAGCTATGATTACCACATATTCACTAGGAAAGAGCTGTTTTTATAGACTAGTGAGCAATTTATGCCTGTTTATCCCAGCTAGGGTTTAGGGAAAGAAAAAAACAAAACTGCCACCACAACGGTGCACGTAGAATTATTATTATTATTAATTTCTAAACAATGGTCTCAGAATCAGAATTAAATTTTGTGGATGTCATGAATGCTTCCTTTTAAAGAGAGTTATACATAATATTAATACAGAAGTACATTTCTCATTTGAGACACAAGTCTGTGACTTTGCGGAAAATCTCTCTGGATTCTAGTCTTTGCTGTACCATATACAAGACTATTCCTCGTTTTTCTTTGGAAGGCAGTTCTAGCTCCTCTCCACAATATACCAAATATAAATCAAATACAGATAAAAGATACCATAACTTTCAGGTTGGCTTGACTGAGCACAGGAAATCTTGATTATCCTATAACAAATTCATCTATCTTTTAGATAAATATTATCTACACTGTTTTGGGTGAGTCCCACATTCAACTGTGCTGCCCTGGTTAAACGCTAGATAAGACTGTACAGCAATGATTTCATAAAGGATATAGCAACGTTACCTGCCAAACTGAGAAAGCAAAAACCAGGTCTTGGGCGCTAATTAGCACGTCATCATCTACCATTAACACCGCTGAAATGAAAGGAAAAAAAATTTAAATCCAACAGTTTGGATTTAAAACTAGTAAGATACAATGGTGTCTACATAGGTCCTTCAAATGAAGTATTTTCTAACAAAATTAGTAAATAAGAAACGTATTCTTGGAGAGATTTGTCTAGCAGAAAAAGTTTTTATTTGAATTGTAATTGCTTTTATACCTGCCTGAGGGGAAAATTATCATCCATTATCCTAGAAACTAATGAACCTATAAATAAATAAAACCAAAGTTCTTTTAAGCAAATTACAACCTCATGAAATTGCTATGAATAGGAGGAAAAAGGAGGTGGCAAAAAATACATTAAGCATAAGCTAAATGGCATTTTACTCCCTTCTGTAGATGCAATAATATGTAATTATAGCATATCTTCTTTCACAATATTAAGCTCTTTGTCATTGTTGTAAGATGTATGTGATTTCTTCCCTAGCAAACTGCTTCTTGACATCTGGGTAATTGCCCCTTAAGTTTTTCAAAGTGCTTTCTTATGATTAAATTTCCCTATTTTTTCCAGACAATTACGACAAGTAGAGGCCGGAAATCCACATACACACCCCTCGCTCTGGTTAGCTGCAGCTCTGCCAGGCTAAGAACCCAGCTGCAACTCACCACTGGTTTCCAGTTCAGGAAAGACCTGGAGTCGATTTCTCATCCTGTTTGTTGTCTGTAGTTTGAAGATCACAGGCACAGGGTGAGGCCCTAGAGAATTCCATAACTCATCCGGTCCTTTCTCCCCAATGTTGTTCCACACCACAATCACTTTGTGCAGATGTGGTACTGCCTGATAATGATTTAAAAGTCTCAATAGTAGATCCGTTCTGTTATACGTCTGCATTATGAGAGTAAAGGAATCCAGGGTGGACTTGCCCTGGGATTTTATTTCCCGACGCAAAGCGAGCATCTTGTCTTCTTTTATATTGGGAAGTAAAGTGGTCAAAGCCCCCGCTACCAGCAGTAACACAAGGATGACCACCAAAGAGAAATGAAGCACTCGAATCCCCATCACTCTTCCGGGGAGTTTGCAGATGTGGCAACACCTGGAGTAGAAATGGAAATAAAATATAGAATGTTAGCATTCTTACTAGTCATCATATTTTGTTTTGCATTTTTTAATGAGGAGAGAGGTTAATCTTACTTTAATTGATTCAAATTCAGTTCTCCCTACCTCTTTGAGAAGGTGATTTGGCCTAAGATAATAAGTACAGGGAACAAGCTTCCCTTCTGGGCCTGTTTGCTTTGCAGTTGCAGACAAAAGATCTACACATCAAAGAGGAAGAATCAAGCAGTGCGTTTTAAAATTTGCCTTCAATGGGGCTGGTTCGGTGGCGCAAGCCGTTAAGTGCGCGAGCTCCGCTGTGGCAGCCCGGGGTCACAGGTTCGGATCCCGCCGCCCATCAACGCACCGCTTGGCAAGCCATACTGTGGCAGCCTCCCATATAAAGTGGAGGAAGATGGGCACGGAGGTTAGCCCAGGGTCAGTCTTGCTCAGCAAAAAGAGGAGGATTGGCAGATGTTAGCTCAGGGCTGATCTTCCTCACACACGCAAAAGAAAATTGCCTTCATTTTACTACTAAAAATTTGGAACTGAGATTACGTTTTCAAATGGGATTTTATTTCTCTTAGTAGTATACTAATGTTTTTAACAGCTTTATTGAGATACCATTGACATATAAAAATCATATATTTAAGGTGTACAACTTAATGTTTTGATATACATATACTGTGCTATACTAACTTTAATCGTACTTTTTGGTAGCAAACTTTTTTGTAAAGGAAATCATATGCAGAACCCTAAAATACGAAGCAGATAATAGCGGCAGCAGCAGCAGCAGCAAACAATTACAGTGGGTTTATTACTTATTAGGTCCTGTGCTATCTGCTTTGCATGTCATAGTTGTACTTATTCATTCAGTAAACTAAACAAATAGTTACTGAGCATATACTGTGCCAAGTACTGTCTAGGTTCTGTGAATGCAGCAATGAAGAAGATAGACAAGGTATCTGCTGATAGCAGCAGAGGAGATAGTGGGGAAAGACAGACAACAAAGTAAGCAAACTCAAACATCATTTGGGATAGTGGTAATGAAGAGAATAAATCAGAATGACATGTTAAGCAAGGGCCAGATTATGGGGGATCTTGTCAGCCTGAATAAGGAGTATGGATTTTACTCTGAGATGGGAAGCCGTTGGAGGGTTTTGAACAGGGGAGTGACAGGATCTAGTTTATCATTTACTATTGTTATTTCCATTTAATAGTCTGGATGCTTAGAGGTTCAATAACTTTCTCAAGATTACTAAGCAACTTAAGTCATGGTGTTAGGATTTACATCCAGGAAAATCTGCTGCCAGAGCCTGGCTGTTCATCATTATGGGCTCGGGAGTGTACTGCCTGGATTCAAATCCAGGTGGAACTAAGGTAGGGCTCTTGAGCTTCCAAAGCACCCTCTCTCACAGTACACAAAGATCACAAGGTATTGTGATCAGCTATGTCCTCTCCTATTCCTCACCATACCTGAAGGATCTGCCAGAGATGGCTACAGAACAGTAGTGAACAAATAATTGATGAATGTGGCCTGGATATGCATTGGTCGAAATATTTTTGTCTAATCAAAACTCTCAGTCGTATTTGTAAGGAAAGGTTAAATCTCACAGACAGTTTTACAGAGACCTAGAACTCCAACGGCTTCCAATACAGACAGCTTCCTTAACACCTCTGCTGTCTCCTTCTGAGCATTGCTGGCTTTCAATTGTTGCTGTTTTTTCATTCTTCTGCTGTTTCTGCTTCTGATTCCAGACTTGACTTACCCTTCCACAAGCCTCCATTAGCTTTTTAGGTACGCCTTTATTTTGTATTTTGGCAGCTGAGACTTCATATACATCTTAGCTTGTATCCTAGATCTACTCTGCTACTTTTCAAGTAATAAAGCCAGAAATAAGGAAAAAGAACATCGAAAGAAATTGACTCATGAAAAAAACTGAAAATAAGAATCAGCCAGGAGTTTCTAAACAACACTTTAAAAATGGCCTTAAGAAAAAAATAGGTCTTTTAGAACCAGAAAGAATAAGATATTATTATTCTTAATGACTTTAATTGATCCATAGTCTATCCTTTCTTACTATTTTTGACACAATTTCTCTTCTCAGGCTATACAACAAGCAGAAGCTCTCATCTATTTCTTAATACAGACCAATACAATAAAGCTAGAAAAGACTTCTTACTGCTAACTCCCAGCTGTGGTATGCTGACTGTACAGAGCTACGGTCAGTGTTCTTCTTTGTATAACACTGCCTCTGTACAGCTTATTTTTGGTTGTCTCCACCTTCCTGGAAAGTGCACTCTGTGTGTATATCTAAGCTCTTAATTTCATGCCTTGTGGTTTAAGTTGGGCTTTTGCAGCTGGGCCATTCCACAGGCAATCCTAAACCTGCAGTCTACATCTTCCTAACAGATTAGATTCCACACGAAAACTTACTTTGCCTTCTAAATGATGTCCATTCAACCTTTTGTTTTCCATTGAGGAGACTAAGTGGTGGGGTTAAAGTAACAATCACATTCTCATGATCTTGTTTCATGTTGTGAGGTGTGTTTTGAAATTGTAGAAATAGTTTCTCTCTCTATAGTTCAGCCAGGGCATAGAGAGACCACATAGACCATGCTTAACATCTTCCATTGAGGTTCACAAGAACGGGGAATGGAGAATTCTGAGGGGGCTCGGGGCATACGCTCCATGATGTGACAGTGTGCTGAGGCAGGTGGAAGCAAAGGAAGATCTTATTCATAAGGACAAGGCAATGGTCATTGTCATGCAGCAGCTTTCACTTTGCAATAGTCCAGATGTGAAAACTTTGTAGTAACCTTTTCAGAGAGCTTTCAAGGATATTCTCTCCCGGTCTTTCTCTGTAGCCTGTTCTATTACAAAAAGCAATTTTGTGTTTCCCCTTTTATCATGGTCTCACTCTAAGATATGAATAAAATGAATTATTTTTGAAGTAACCTCAGCTTTACCACGATTATTTTTCAAGGACAGTAATCTGTTTTAGAGTACAATGTTCTCATCATATGCACCCTCCTACTAAAACAACACATGCTCTTAAGGTAGTCAACTGAAGACAAATCAGACGAATTAAAAATCTTGGTTCAAAGGCCTTGAGAGTCCTTCTAACAATGAATCAAAAGTAAGTCTCACAAAACATATTTTCAGTTCCATGGCTTGTTATAAGCACTCAGAGTAAAAAATCATCTGACAACTGTATTAAAGTATATCCTGATTAAGATCTTTATGTTCATTTTCTACAGCTGAGTAGGAATAGCATATAGTAAAACTTACATAAAAGTGTTTCTAATAAGTCAGACAAAGAGAAATACCATATGATTAGACTTATATGTGGAATATAAAAACAGAAACAAAAACAAAAAAAGCACAAAAACCCAAGCTTATAGATACAGAGAACAAACTGGTGGTTGTCAGAGGTGGGGGGTGTGGGTGGTGGGAGAAATGGGTGAAGGGGGTCAAAAGGTACAAACTTTCAGTTATAAAATAAATAAGTCATGGGGATGAAATGTACAGCATAGTGACTATAGTTAATACTGTATTGCATATTTGAAGTTGCTAAGAAAGTAGGTCTTAAAAGTTCTCATCACAAGAAAAAGCTTTTTTGTAACTCTGTAAGGTGATGGATGTTAACTAGATTCATTGTGCTGATCATTTCGCAATGTATACAAATATTGAATCATTATGTGGTACACCTGAAAATAATGTTATACGTCAATTATACCTCAATTAAAAAAAATTAAGAGTTTCTAATCTCTAAAGCAGACACTGTTAACTTACATCCTAACAGTTTTAGTCTATAAAAAGTAATGAAGATTAATTACTATAGCCTACTATAAATATATACTGTCAAAGATACTCATAGGTGACTGTTTCACTTTTATCTACACTTGTTAGTAGGAGTTTATCCCTGTACCCATCACAAAAATTTCCTCTTTCAGGTAGCTTCTAATCCCCTATTTTACCAGTATCAAAAATGTTTCAGGAGATATGAATAATTTATATCTTTAGAAATAAAATGTAAATATTTCATGTAATATTTATTAAATAATGCAGCCCAATACAATCATGTAAAATTTTTAGTCTACACAGAACAGCAAGAAGAACAAGAACTTTACAGACTGCAGTGCAATGTGGCACCTCTGTACTCTGAGGACAGGTGAAGTCTGGAACTCTATTGTAGGCCCATTAGAAACAGCTTCAGAACAGTGTGGAGAGTAATGACGAACAGTTGGGAGAATAATGATGAACAGTTTAGAGAGTAATGATGACTTCATGGCTATTTGGATTTCATAGTTTATAGCTTTCTTCTGTTCTTTTTCTAGAGAAAGAACCTATCATCTAATTCACAGCTTTGAGCTTTGAACAGGAGATATGAGCAAGAACACATTTGGCTAACCTACACCTTACTTGGAAAGAACCAAAAAGTAAATGTAGGTACCTGCCAGATTTCTTGACCTCAATTCTTGAACCTTCCTCTTAGGTTTTTGTTTTTTCCTTATTTCTTTTTAAAATTATGTCTGTATATATTTACTGGCAGCCTGCTTCATTCCAAAAAGAATCTGACAGCTCATGGCCTATTCCCTTTCTGCCTTCTCCTATCTTAGACTACAGAAGATTAAATATGACTTTGATAAACACAGTAAATGTCAGCTAAACAAAACAAAAATCTTACCTCTTCTTCTGATCATCTGAAAAAAATCAAAGATCCCCCAATGATATTTTTTTGCAGATATGTTAACTTATTAGCTTTTCATAGGCAGAGGGTATATCCTTTTAGTTATTTTCATATTGTAATTCTAGCATCTTCTACACCAGAGGTTTTCAACTGGGGATGACTTTGCTCCCTAGGGGACATTTGGCAAAGTCTGGAAACATTTTTGATTGTTGGGACTGGAGAGGAGACGCTATTGCTATCTAGCGGGCAGATGTCAGGGTTGCTGCTAAACATCCTACAACGGACAGGACAACCCCCACAGCACACA